AACTCACAACTCTGAGATCAAGACTCGCATGCTCCACCAAATGAGCCAGCCAGGTGCCCCATCCTTAACTATTTTTACCATGTGTTTTTCAACTATATAAGACTTAGAAAAGAGTTGCCAAAAAAAAAAATAGACTTCTGTATAACTTTCAGTAGGCTTCCCTTAATGTTAATACCTTATCTTACATAACCATAGTGTAATTATCCAAAGAAATTAACATTAGTACAATACTATTAACTAAATTACAGTCTTTATTTGCATTCCAACATTTTTGCCATTAACGTTATTTTCCTGTTCTAGGATCCAATTCAGAATCCCACACTGCAGTTACTTGTCATGTCTCCTTAGCGTCCTCTAATCTGTGATAATTCTTCAGTCTTTCCTGGTTTTTCATGAACTTGCAAATCTCCTATTCCTAAACTTTCATCCAACAATTTTAGCATCAATTAGTGGATCTTGCTCGTGGCAATTACTAAAACTGTGGTATTCTAAATGGCGATTTTCTATAACCCTCATTCCTTCATGGCAACAATTGGAATTCTTCTATAATAAAGAGCTGTCCCTTCTCTCCCATTTAACTTATTCATTTGATTCAGGACATTAATTTTATTCTTTGGGTTATAATCCAATATTATTAGTAGTTTTTTGCTCAATGTTAGGTGGTTTTAATAACTTAAAAAAAATAAATGATTGTAGAATAAATGGATGAATAAACTGCATCTTGCATAGCAGGGTACAAGAAAGAAACAATCACAGATACAACAAGATGTACCCACCACCATGATGATCCAATCAGAAGATTGCTGCCTACCTGACATTAGCTTCTTCAGCAGTTTCTGGCTCTTGTTTGAGTCACGCTGTAAAATATCCTGTTCTTCACGAGTACATACCTATAAAGTAATAAAAGACACATGATCCAAGTTACATTAATTTTGCTTGCTTGATATCCTAAAATGTAACCTCAAATTACACATTAGATACGGCAATAAAATAATGAGACTGTTGGTGTTTTTTTAATCCAAGCAAATACACCAAAAATATACATATCCAAATGAGTTTGCCCTAGTCTCTTTCTACTCATCCCTTCTTTTATGAACCACAGAAAAAACTTATCTCACTGGAAGTATCCCTGAATGATTTGATAGTTAAAAAAAAAAGAAAAAAAAATCTAACCTTCTTTCAAAGGACAAAGATTTGCCATCACTGAGAATACTGGTAAAAATACACGTTTTTTAAAGACTTCCAGTTCGGGCGCCTGGGTGGCTCAGTTGGTTGAGCGACTGCCTTCGGCTCAGGTCATGATCCTGGAGTCCCGGGATCGAGTCCCGCATCGGGCTCCCTGCCTGGCGGGGAGTCTGCTTCTCCCTCTGATCCTCCCCCCTCTCATGCTCT